TCCGTCTCCCTCGCGGCTGGACGGCAACACCTCCGTCCGGGAGCAGGCCCTGCCGCAGCCCGTCTCCCCTCTGAGCACTGCCACAGGTAAGGGATTTGCTTCCTGAGCTCTGCTCTGGCCTCAGGGGAAGGAAAGGGAGCTGGAGAGGTGGCCCAGGGAGTGACAAGGGGCTGGGCCCTCTCCTTGGAGACTGCTGTTCCTCAAGGAGAGCACAGATCCTTCTGGGAAGGGCTCAGAGATTGGCCTCTGATTGAGGAGGAGGATGCTGAGCTGTCCAGAAGGGACAGGGGAATACAGGGTCATACTCCTGTCCCTGCCTGCTGTTCCCATTCTGATGGAGGGGAGACCCTGCTGCCAGGCTCTTCCTGGGGATATGGAATGGTCACTGGTTCCTCTCAGCACCCTGTTTGCCAGATGTTTCCTTTGGCTTGACCCTGAAGCTGGGTTTCCCCTGCTGTGCAGCAGCTGATGCTGAATCCCAGGAGGCCCTTCTGCCCCTAAAGGAAACCTGCTGAGTGGGTTTGGGCTGGGTGCACTGCCCCAAACACCACTAACAGAAGTGAAGAATTAACACCCATTTTGAGTTCCAGAAGTGGGGCCGTGTTTAGCTCCAGCACCCACAGGAGATGTCGGCTGCTGGACACAAGACTGGCAGCTGGGGACAATTCCCTCAGTTACAGGTGTCACAGGAGGAACCAAGAGCTGCTCCTGGGAGCTGCAGGGTCAGGGTGGAGCTCAGGGAGAGCCGTTTCTGGGCAGAGGGGACAGTTTGGTTCAGACAGTCACTGATTGCCATGGAGCACATGTTCCCTATGGTGTGACCAGCGAGTGCAGCTGGAGCAGTCAGCTCCTCCTTGGCCACCAGGGCTCTGCTGCTTTTCCTTGTAACCCACCGTGTTCTCCTTCCTTCCTTCCCTAGGCCAGTTGAGTGGGAAGCAGGTTCTGTCTGCAACGTCGGATGAGCGGGTAAAAGACGAGTTCAGTGACCTTTCTGAGGGGTGAGAGAAGAGTGGGTTTAACACAGCCTAAATGTCTTCTTTGCCAGTGGGAACCCCCAGCCCGGAGAGCTCTTTCTCCACCAGCACCAGGGGCTCAGAGGCGTGGCTCTGCCACCAGAGAGCTCATGGCACTGGGACTCTGAGCTCCCTCCTGTGCCCTGGGGGTTTGCACACACGTGTGCTCCGTGTTTGTGGGCTGCTCCCAGCAATCCTGGCCCTGCTTGTCCCCTCTCTGCTGGGGAAGGAGCAGGAGCTGCTGTGGGAGAGCAGTGGGAGCGGGAATGCAGGCACGGGGTGGCACGTGGAGAAACCACCACTCTGTTTGCTTTAACTGGGAAATGGGAGAGGGAGGGACCTGGCAGCTCTGCAGTCCGTTGTGAGCGAGGATTTGGCTCAGTCCAACACAGGGGTTTGGAATGGGGCTGTAAATACAGGAATCCAGGCATTACCAGTCTAAAGGGCCAAGTGCAGAGTGACTCCAGAGTCAGCTGAGCCTGTCTGCTGTCACATCAAAAGGGCCGCAAGGATTTATTGCCTATTTCCTGTCTTCAGGAATTAATTGCTTCTTGTATGGCTTAAGGCCTAAAAGGAGGGGAAAGGAAAGTCCAAATGTGGCTGTTCCATTTGAGGGAATGCAGAATGACCCACAGCTTCATTAACCTGCGCCAGACAATTATGTGACATTCTTGCTCCACAAAATTCCTTTTCCCAGTAGAGGAAGCAGCAGCCACATCCCTCACCCATGAATAGATCCTTTCAGTAACAGCCGTTTTTTTGTTCTCCTGACAGTGGTTTGATTATTCTTGCAGAGATTTAGCCCTAAAAGGACCTGCTTTGGGTCCTTGCTGCGTTCACCGGCGCTGGGGAGAGGACGGGGAGGAGAACACGTGCCCTGGGGGAGATGGATGTGCTGGGAATGGGGAAGTGCTGGTGCTGAGGGTGAGCCCGAGGTCACCTTGGTAAAGGGCAGCTTCTCCCTCTCAGGGACTTCTTGAGTGACGATGAAAGCGAGAAGAGAAACGTGCAATCCTCAGACGACTCCTTCGAGCCTTACCCCGAGAAGAAGTAAGGGGCTCTCAGGGTGGGTGGGGGGCTGGTGCCCACCCCTGTGGGGCTGACATGCCTTTCCTTAGGGCTCTGTTCCTGCCTGGGGGTCACAGAGATGCCCCCGAGCTCCCCACTGGGTTAAACTGGCTGGGCCCTCGTCCCCAGCCTGGCATAGCCACAGCCTGGCTCGTGTACCTGGGGCTGTGTGTGCTCCTGCTCTGCCAGGCCACAGCAGGTGTAACAGCTGGGGGCACTTTGGTGGTGGTCTAAAACCAAGATCAAGTCTTAAACCACTGTCCTGGTTCTTTCTTGGAGGGTTTCTGGCAAGAAAAGCGACAGTAAAGAAGCAAAGAAGGCGGAAGAGCCCAAAATAAGGAAGAAGCCGGGTCCTAAGCCAGGCTGGAAAAAAAAAATCAAATGTGAACGGTAAGGAGGGTCCATCAGGGCTGGGCTGGGCTGCAGCCCCACAGCCACAACACCTCACACAGCTCTGCTTGCAGGGAGGAGCTGCCCACCATCTACAAGTGTCCTTACCAGGGCTGCACTGCTGTCTACAGAGGGGCTGATGGCATGAAGGTGAGCTCGGGCTCTGCTCCTGCCCCACCCTGGTGACTCCCAGCACTCTGCAGCCACTTACATTGAGCAGAGGATCCCTGATGGGTTTAATTCCCCACCCTGCTCTGCAGGAGGCAGTGAACCACTAAAAGCAGCTTGCTGGGAGTCCTGGAGCCTTTTCCAGGCTCTGGCTCTCNAGCAGCGCCGCGTGGACCAGGTGTTCTTCGCCGACTTCCAGCGCCTGGTGGGCGTGGCGGTGCGCCAGGACCCCGCGCTGCCCCAGTTCGTCTGCAAGAAATGCCATGCCCAGTTCTACAAGTGCCGCAGCGTGCTCCGCGCCTTCATCCAGAGGGTGAACGCCTCGCCCACGGGCCACGCCAAGGCCAAAGGAAAGTACGTGGCCTTCCTCGCCTCACGGGAGCAGTGCTGTGCTCTGTTCCCCTGTGCTGCCCCGTGTTTCCCCATGCTGCCCCATGGTCCCTCCGTGACCCCCAAACCCCACTGTGCCCCTCTGGTTTTTGCAGGAGCAGCGGGGTCCAGGCACAGCCGGGTATGGAAGGAGGTGCCTCCTGCCTGGGTGAGTGCCCACCCTCTTTTTCTTTCTGCCCCAGCACCAGCAAAGGGCTGGGATGATGAGTGGTGGGAAATGACCATGTCTAGGGGGTTTTGGTGTCCTTTGACACAGCTGGTTAAGGTTCTCCTTCCTCCCTTTGGCTGCTCAGGGCTATCTTCACCTTCCTGAGCAGGGCCAGACAGGCAGAGACTCACCTGGGGATGGAAAGAGCAGGCAGAGCAGATTTGGGTGGCAGTTGCAGTCGTGTCCTAGCTGGTGTTGGACACTGGTGACAACTGGAAATATGAAATACCCTTTCAGCTGTGAATGATGGAGGGAGGTGGTGCAGCCACTGTCCCTGGAGGTGTTTAGGGAAAAACTGGATGGAGGTGTTTAAGGAAAGACTCAGTGCTCTGGTGTGGCTGACAGGGTGGTGTTTGGTCATGGGTTGGACTCGGTGATCTCAAGGGTTGTTTCCATCCTCAGTGGTTCTGTGAGGAATCAGGAGCAGGCGCTGGCACTGCCCCGGTGAATGAAATGAAATTTCGGGAAGGGAAACGGGGTGGTTCCCACCTGCCTTGTGGGACACCCCTGGGAGGGGGAGCAGCTCCACATCCCCGTGTGCCCGGGCCTGACTGCGCTGCCCCTCCTCTCCCCTCCCCTCCC